GGAAAGCTCCGCCAGTAGCATGTTCATAGCCTGGGGAACTCCTACAAGATAATGACTTAGCCCTACCTCACCTTCTGGAGTAGCTATAAATTACCTGCCTACCATTTTCCTCTCACCTTGACACAGAGAGTACTCCATCTTTCTGTGGTATACCTCTGAGGATGCCAGTCACAGTTACTGGCGAAACATCAGGTTCTACAATGCCAAGACCACGGCCACAGAACCCGGAAAATCTACAGCAACTAGTGAACTCCGACCGTGAAAGCCTTCGACAACATATCAAAAGGGTCATGTTTATAGCAGTCTTGAGCAGCATGCGTTCTATTGCACCTTCACACACATTAAGACCAGACAAGGTATAATCCCAAACAGACATCACACCAGCAGCCACGTACACAGTGCTGCCCATGTTTGCCATCTACCATCAAGATGAGTCATTTATGACTCCCCCTGGAGCCTGGCATCCCCACCCCCATTCAGTCCCAGCCCCCTCCCTTCACCTCGCACGACCCCGCTTGGGCTTCCACTCGGAAGTCACGTACACAGTGCTGCCCATGTTTGCCATCTACCATAAATACAACTCATTTATCACTCCACCTGGAGCCTGGCATCCCTACCCCCATTCAGTCCCAGCCCCCTCCCTTCACCTCACACTACCCCGCTTGTGCTTCCACTCAGAAGTAAGTAAGTAAGGGTTCTTTTAACAATTATGTCCTCTGAAAAATTTAAAGGCCCCCCCAAAAAATAAATCCTGGCTACGGGCCTGGGGAGAACCCTCTCCCAGCTCTTCCTCCTCGTCCAGGCAGGCATGCAAGCCGCGGTGCCGGGCCATGCCTTCTCCACCTGCCGGCCAGCGCAGCCAGCAGGACTTCCAGCCCGGCCCCGATTCAAGCCCCTCTCCACTGCTCCGCGCTGCCAAGTCAGACGATGAGGCCGTGGGGGAGGACAAGGAGAGGCTTGCGGGGCTCCTGGCTGGCAGGCAGGGAAAGGGCAGTGGCAGAGAGTCCTCCAGGCAGCCCAGGGAGTCAGGGGGCCTGCGCTGCCAAGGAAGTCGTGGGGCCTTAGCAGGAAGTCATGGGCAATGTTCCCTCTTAACTCCAGATTTTTGTGAGCAAAAATTCTACTTTGTGAGCTCCTGGCATTAAAGCGGTGAGAGAACAATTTGGCAGCTGCATAAATTAGTTTGCTCTGGAGCCCTCCTTCCTGAGCGAAGACAAAAAATGTGTGAGCCAGAGGCTAAAAATCTGTGAGCTAGCTTACACTAACTCAGCTTAGAGGGAACATTGGTTGTGGGGCCAGGCTGGGCTTGTTACTCTCGGAACTGCCGTTCCTGCTCAAAATGACCCCTGCTTCTGCTGCTATT